CCCTGCCTTGTTCCTGTATGTAAAACAGCTCATTAGTTCCTCAGCTTCATTTCCATTACTGTTAATGTTCTGGAAAAACTAATTTACACTTAGTGAAAGAGAATTAAAATGAGTGTCAGAAGAATGAAATATGACATTAGTTCTCAAACTGTGGTCCCTGGACCTGTAGCAATACAGCACCTTGTTATAAATGCAAATTCTTGGACCCCGCCTGCGGAATCGGAAACTCCTGGGATAGGGCCCAGCAATCTGTGATTTCACAAACCTTCCAAGTGATAGTGATGCATGCCAAATTTGAGAACCACTGCAAGTAGGAAATTAGTTATTGGCTGGCAGTGGCATAATGAGCAAAAACAGTGCATCCTAGGTGTGGGTTGCTTGTCAAATTGTAAAGACCTATTGAACTGGTTTTCTATCACGCCTGGAAGGCAACACATCACCAGCATCAAGTGGCTGGTGGGGTGGAGAGGGTAGGTAGAGTGTACATGGGTAGGCGGAGTGTGACGGGCTGGCAATGCCAAAACCTCCACTCTATGTCTGCTATCTCTCTTGGCCTGGATTTTAATCTCCACAGTCTGCTGAAAACACTTTGTCACTTATCCCCAGTAGCGTCTTTCTGGTAAAATCCACTTATCTTTGTTCCTGGCTTGCCCTCCTTCAGGAGAGCTGGGTGCACTTAACAAACCCTTTTTAAAAAAAATTTTTTTAATTTCTGTGGGTGTGAAGTAGCTGTAAATACTTATGGGATACATGAGATATTTTGATATAGGTGTACAATGTGTAATATTCCCCTCAAAATAAATGGAATATCCATTACCTCAAGCACTTATCCTTTGTGTTACAAATCATCCAATTATACTCTTTTAGTTATTTTTAAACGTAAAATTAAATTAGTATTGACTACAGTGACCCTGGACAAATATACTTTTAAAACCAGACTTCACAACTATGGTATCATCCTGTTCTCTGCGTATCACTTCGATAACCCACTAAGGCTCCTTGGCTGGCTTCTTACGAGTTTTTAACATCATATAAATTTGTATTTAGCTAGGAATGGATTTTATTAATATAATATATTATAAATGATCTAAATTATTATGCCTAATGATGGAAATATATGCTACATTGCAATTTGTAATTGAATAGGATTAAAATTTTATTACAAGAAAAATTCTTATTTTACTTTAGAGAAATTTTGAGCTAATGGAATGTATTCATGACAACACTGAAATTTATCATGTGCTCCTGCATTGGGATTTCTTTCTAAACATCATGGAAATAAAGAATATGAAGGCACAATTAGTTTTCTTGAAAACAAACCACAATTCATTATCAATATAAAGGTTAGCCTCTGAAAAAACTCCAATATTTTTCTAAAAGTTTCCTTAAAGTTATCAAACAAGAAATGGGTTATTTGAAAAATAAAGAGTTAGCGAATATTTTTGTCAGCTCATAACTATCTTTGTACTGTTCTTCCCATTGGAGTTAAGAATTTCTCAACAGTTAGAAAAATTTTTCACATAAATACACTGACAACTCAGATGATTGTAACACTTTGTTTTGTAAGATTATGTTTCTGAAGAACAACTAATTTTTAATTTTTAATTTTTTGTAAGGATTTCTATGTTTTGAGATTAAAACTATGTATCTATAATTTGTATGAATATGTCAGCTTGTATTTAGCCTTCATTTTTCCTATTTATCTTTCTTGGGGCATAATTTATATTTAATAAAATGCACAGTTTATAAGTTTAAAGTTTGATTAATTTGAAAAATGTATACACATGTGTAACAACTACTTTAATTAAGATATAGAACATTTCTAAAACTCCAAAAGCTCTCTTCTTTCTTTCCTCAATTACTGCCTTTTGCCCCAAGAGAAAAACACGGTTCTTATTTCCACTATCATATACTAGTTTCATCTATTTTAAGACTTCATATAATTCAAATCATGCAATATGTTCTCTTCATGTCTAGTTTCTTTGATTCTGCATGTTTTGGAGATGCCTATGTCTTTTTGCAAACATCAATAGTTGATTTCATTTAATTTCTAAGTAGAAATCCATTTTCATGGTGACTAACAATTTGTGGCCATCTTTCCTTATACTTGTTGGCCTTTTATATACCTTCTTCAATGAAGTATTGATAAAAATATATTTTTCATTTGTTTATTGGGGTGATTGTTTTCTTCTTATTGAATTGTAAGAATCCTTCCCATATTCTCAGTACAAGTCCTTTATTAGATATGTGTTTTGGAAATATTTTCTCAAAATCTGTTGCTTATTTTTATTTTCTTAAGAATTTTTTAAAGTAGGCTTTAAAAAAACAAAGATTTATTATTATACAATTCTGTAGATTGACAATTTGGGTGGTTTTCCAAGTGGTCTTACACGAGATTACTCATATGATTACAGATATCTTACAGCTTGACTGAAACTAAAAGGCCCCAAACAACCCTATTTACATGCTGGAAGTTGGTACTAGCTATTATCTGACAGGCTTCTCCCACAGAGGCCTCTCCTCCTCTAGTAAGCTAGGCTGGACTTCTTCACAACATGGAGGTCTCAATGTTCTAAGAGACTGAAAGCAGACACTGTGATGCCTATTAAATCCTAGTCTCAGAAATGTTACATCATTTGAGTTGCATATTTTTACCCTTTTTATTGTTCTTTTTTCACTCATGATTTTTCAAGTTTCTTTCTGGGATCACTTCCTTGTGTCTGAAGAACTTTCTTCAGCAACAGTAGAGGAAGAGTAGGTCTGATGGCAACAAAATTTCTTAGTTTTTCTTCATCTGGAAACATATATTTTAAAAATTATAAATTGATAATTTATAATTGTATATACATGAGGTAAAAGGGATGTTACGATTTAAAATACAATGTAGAATAATTAAATCAAGCTAATTAGCATATACCCATCAGCTCAAATACTTATTTATTTTGTGATGAGAACATTTGAAATGTATTAGCAATTTTGAAATGTACAATACACCATTTTTAACTAAATTCACCATGCTGTGCAGTAGATCTTAAAAAAATCTTATTACTCCTAACTGGAATTTTGTAACTTTTGACCATCATCTCTCCATTCCTCTCTCTACCACCCCCAGACTCTGTAACCACCATTCTACTTTGTGCTTCTATCAGTTTGACTTTTTTAGATTCCACATACAAGTGAGATCATGTGGTATTTGTCTTTCTGTGCCTGGCTTATTTCACTTAGCATAATGTTCTACATTTCCATCTATGTTGCTGCAAATGACAGAATATTCTTCTTTTCAAAGACTGAATGGTATTCCATCATGTATATATACCACATTTCTTCATTCACTCATCTGCTGATTAACACTTAGGCTGATTTCATAATTTGGCTATTGTGAATAGTTCTGCAATGAATATGAGAGGGCAGACATCTTGTCAACAAACTGATTTCAAATATTTTGGGTAAATAACCAAAAAATGGATTGCTAGAGATTGCTAGATCATATGGTAAATCTGTTTTCAGTTTTTTGAGGAACTGCCATATGGTTTTCCATAACGTCTGTACTAATTTACATTCCCACCAGCAGTATACAAGGATTCTTTTTTCTGTACTTCTTCACCAACACTTGTTACCATTTGTCTTTTTGATCATAGCTATTCTGACAGCTGTAAGATTGTATCTCATTGTGGGTTTAATTTGCATTTTCCTAATGATTAGCAATGTTAAGCATTTTTTCATATATTCGTTGGTCATTTGTAGATCTTCTTGTGATAAAGGTCTATTCAGGTCCCTTACCAAATTTTTAATTGACTTTTATATTTTCTTGCTATTGGGTTGAGTTCCTTATGTATTTTGGATATTAACCCATTATCAAATATATGACTTGCAAATATTTTTTCTCAATCTGTAGGTTGTCTCTTCATACTGATACTTGTTTCCTTTGTTGTGCAGAAGCTTTTTAGTTTGATGTAATCCCATTCATCTTTTGTTGCCTGTGCTTTGGGGTTTAATACAAAAAATTATTGCCCAGATCAATGTCATGTAGTTTTCTCCATATGTTTTCTTCAAGTAGTTTTATAGTTTCAGGTCTTACATTTAAGACTGTAATCCATTTTGAGTTAAATTTCATATATGTGTGAGATGAGAGTTCAATTCATTCTTCTGTATGTGAATATCTAGTTTTTCCAACACCATTTATTGAAGATACTGTTTTCCTACTGTGTATTCTTGGCACATTTGTCAAAATTAATTTACTGTACATGAGTGAGTTCATTTCTGGGCTTTCTAGTCTGTTCCATTTGTCGATGTGTCTATTTTTGGTCAGTACCACATTGTCTTATTTGCTATAGCTTTGTGGTAAAGTTTGAAGTCAGATAGTGCAATGCCTCCAGCTTTGTTCTTTTGCTTATGATTGCATAGTGATGCTTAAGTAAAACCAAAATTATCCTGGGAATATAAAAAATAATATATCTGTTTACATTTTGGTGTGGGATGAGTAGAATCCTGTTTTCAAATTCCTTGTTTGAAAGGCTATTAAGAAGAATAAACCCTCACTTAACAGTTTTCTAATTCCTTGGTGGTATCCTCTGTCCTTTGGTAATGTGAAAGTAGAGCACACTTTTCTATTTTTGTTCCTGCCGCACCCCTCATAAGGTGAAGCATGCATAGAGTACTCCCAGGGTCAGCATGAGCCCAGCACCGGCTCAGGCTGCCGATGCTCCAGAGTCGGATTCCACCTTCCACTTAAATGGCAGCCACAGGTAGACGTGCTCATCACAACCACCTCTGTGTGTTCATAATCTCTGTTTATTCTGCAAGTAGTTTCCACAAGAAAAATGGCACAGTGTTTCTCAGAAGACAACTGCATAAAAATCAACATACTTCAAATTCGCAGCAAATAATCAGATAATTGATGAAACTACTTACCCAAACAATAATTGTAAATTATGCCTTCTGAATATATTTGTCATAAACTTGGAGTAAGGAATCCTCACAGGCACTGAACAATTCAAAAAATGCAAAGCTGTTTGTTAGAATACTGGTGCTTTCGGGTAGAAACTCTCATCCATATCCTGGTAAGGGTTGAAGTTGCACAGGTGTTTTCGTTTGTCAAAACCCAGAAAATCATATGTTTTAGATTTGTGAATAATGTTGTATTATATGCAATCTTTCTTTCTAAAAATGAGCTGTAAGCGGTCTCCCAGACAGCAGCTCAGCCTCCAGGACTCTCTTCCAGCATGACCAAAGACTTCACACAAGATGGTAGCAACAAATCATAGGTATGATCACACCAAATTCACAGAAGATACATTGAAAAATCCTCATCAATACCTTCAATCAAAAATCTTACCCAAGTTATGCTACCAAACAACAACTTGCTTTAGAAATCAATGCAGAAGAGTACAGAATCCAGATTTGGTTTCAGAATCAAAGAGCTAGGCATCGATTCCAGAAAAGACCAGAACCTGAGACTTTAGATTCAAGCCAGAGCCATGGTCAAGATCAACCTGGTGTGGAGTTTCACAGTAGAGAAGCCAGACGGTGTCATACCATCTATAGCGCCTCTCAATTACACACTCTCATCAAGGCATTTATGAAAAACACATACCCTGGGATTGATTCCAGAGAACAACTTGCTGAAGAAATTGGTGCTCCAGAGTCAAGAGTCCAAATTTGGTTCCAAAAATCGAAGATCTAGATTTCATCTCCAGAGAAAAGGGAACCTGTTATGTCCTTAGAACAAGACCAGGGGCAAGATTTCTGAGGGACTTCAAGGTACAGAAGATACACAAAATGGCACCAACCTCACTAGTACTCTCATTTCTCTAGAGCCAAAACATGGTGAACACAGTCAAGTTCAGTGTATCTGATATTATCAACTTGGGCCCTATATCTCTCTCACAGTCTTCCTGGGAGTCTATCATTCTGCTCAAAGTGCAAACTAAGCTTTCTGAAAATGGTAAAGGACTTGGCTGGGTGTGGTGGCTCACGCTTGTAATCTCAGCACTTTGGGAGGCTGAGGCAGGAAGAATGCTTGAGCCCAGGAGTTTGAAACCAGTCTTGGCAGTAGAGTAAGACCCTGTCTTTATTATAAATAAAAAGGACTGTAGGAGGCCAAGACAGGTACAGGAGGCACCACACTACCATATTGACACAGCCTGGATCCAGAGTTCAGCAGACCTTGAGACAATGAAAATAAACTTAGTAATAATCATTTTTCAATCATTGCAATAATTATTGATTTGGACAAAAATCAGTTGACATCAAAACCTTAAAGTGAAGCTGCTCTGCCTATGGAGTAGCCATTCTTTTATTCCTTTAGTTTCTTAATAAATTTTCTTTCACTTAAAAAAAACCCTATAGTTCAATGAAGAATGAGATATATACCTCATCTCAAAGAATCTTCTCACACACACTTACTAATGACAAAAGGAAAATCAGTAATTTTGCAGTGGTGAAATATGGCGAACTCCACCTTAACCAAGTGGCTGAAAGTCACTGCACCAGAAAGGTACAAACCAACATGAGATGCTTCCTGATACGATACACTAAAAAGGGCACAGTCTCTTCTGCATGTTGCTAACAAAAAGTGGGTGAGCTGAAACTGAAACTAATAATTAGGCAATGTCAAGCAAATACAAATTCAAATACAAATTCAGATTGACAGTCTGCAAAGTAACATCCATGTACTCTTCAACAATGGACTGATCCTAGCTCAGGAGGCTGAGGCGGGAGGATTGCTTGAGGCCAGGAGTTCCAGATCAGCCTGGGCAACATGATGAGACTCCTTCTCTACAAACATCACTGACTACACTGTGCTCTGCCCAGGGATCAGACCTCGAGTGCTGTCCTTGGAGTGCCCAGCACTGGCCAAATGTTCTTCTATGCCCGGTTCATGTAAGGCTGCAGAGGAATGACAATTTTAGTGAATCCACATGCTCTGAATACATTTCATTTCACCAATGAAAGTCATTTTCTAATATTAATTATGCTACTTGAAAGTCACTTGTTTCACCAATGAAAATCCATTTTTGACATTCATTTTGCAAAACATTAAAACAATTTTTTATAAATGTATCTATTGTTATTTTAAAAATTCTGGTTAAATACACGAAACATAAAATTTACTTTTTTTTTTTTTTTTTTTTGAGACAGTCTTACGCTGTTGTCCAGGCTAGAGTGCAGTGGTGCAATCTCGGCTCTGCGGGCGCCTCCTCAGTCTTGGCGTCCACTCTGGCAGCGCTTGAGGTACCCTTCAGCCCGCCACGGCACTGTGGGAGCCCTTCTCTGGGCTGGCCAAGGCCTGTCTCTTATACACATCTAGATGTGTATAAGAGACAAGGCTGGAAAATGTACCATATTAATCATTGTAAGTGTACAGTTTAATAGCATTGAATACATTCACATTGTTGTGCAAACATCACCACCATCTATCTTCAGAAATCTTTTCATCTTGCAAAATGGAAACTCTGTCCCCATTAAACAATAACTCCCCATTCTCTCCCACCTCGAACCCCTGGCAATCAGCATTCCACTTTCTGTCTATGAAGTTGATTTTCACTACTTTATTAAGTGGAATCAGACAATACTTGTCCTTTTGTGATTGTCCCATTTTACTTGGCATAATGTCCTCAAAGTTCATCCCAAGTGGTGTGAGATAGCTTTTTCTAGCCCCCTTCTTCCTCCAGATCTAAATAATTTCATGCAGCTTTTAGATGGATTGGAAACTTAATTTTACTATGGTAAACACAACATAGTTTTAAGAGAAAATGGACCTGATGTCTACCATCAAAAAGAACAGCTTAACCAAAAACAATACCAGGATCAAAAGTCAGGGTTTAGGCTGTACCATCTTCATTGTCTGAATTCAAGAAATTCATTCCTATTGTGGCACATGTTATAATTTTCTACCTTTTTAATGCTGAATTCCTTCACATGTATATACCACCTTTTGTTTATGCACTCATCCTTTGACGAACACTTGAGTTGCTCTATGTTTTGGCTTACTGTGAATAGAGCTGCTATGAACATGGGTGTTTGAATATCTCTTTGTGACCGTGCTTTCAATTCATTTAGATAAATATCCAGAAGTGGGATGGCTAGGTCATGTGGTAATTTAATTTTTTGAGGAACTGCCCTACTGACTTGCAAAATGTGAATTTTTGATGGCGATAATGATAACAGATTAACTTATATTTGTTGCCCCAGTGTATTAGTCTGTTTTCACACTGCTATACAGAACTACTTGAGACTGGATAATTTACATGAAGAAAAGAGGTTTAATTGACTCACAGTTCTTCAGGCTTAGTAGGAAGTCTGACTAGGAGGCCTCAGGAAATTTACAATCATGTGGGAGGACTAGGGGAAGCAAGCACGTCTTACTACTGCAGAGCAGGAGAGAGAGTGAAGGGGAAAGTGCCACACACTTTCAAATAACCAGGTCTCGGGAGAACTCACTATCACAAGAACAGCAAGGGGGAAATCAGCCCCCATGATTCAATCACCTCCCACCAGGCCCCTCCCCCAGCACATGGAGATTACAATTCAAGATGAGATTTCAGTGGGGACACAGAGCCAAGCCATATCACCCAGTGTGTGGCCCTTTCTGATTAAGTACAGCTGATTGCCTCTGGGCTGGGCATTCTAGAGAGCAGGTGAGAGCTGATTATCCCTAGAATGCAGGCATAAACTCATTGCCCTTACATAACATCCCAGCCCTTGTACTGATGAGATATTACAGCTGTGACTCACAGCCAGATGATGCCCTGAATTCCCAGACAGATCAGGAAGCTCTTTAAGGATAGAGATGAAGTCTAGTATTTATTTCCCTTTGCTTTTTGATAGTTACTCAGTTAAATGTGTCAGAGAGGTAAGAAAGAGATCTGACAGAAAATCCAAATTCTGGTATTGTGTCTTTTCTTTCTCATACAGAGGATTCTTGCACAAGTTGACCATTTCCTTATCCTTGCAACAGCAAAAGTCCCCTAATGAACCAACTGATTGAAGGAGGATTTGTGTGGGATGATACAGCTGAAAGCTCCTGCTCATCTCCCATGTATGGGTATCATCATTTACTGGTTGGTGGTTTTCTGAGAGAGATGGCATTTTATTTTATTTTATTTTATTATTTTGACAGGATCTCGCTGTGTTGCCCAGGCTAGAATTCAGTGATGCCATCGTGGCTCATGGCAGCATTGAACTCCTGGGCTTGAGCTGTCTTCCCAACTTAGCCTCCTGAATAGTTGAGACTACAGAGCATGCCACCACGCCCGGCAAATTTTTCTACTTTTTGTAGAGATGGGGTCTCACTACGTTGCCCAGGCTGTTCTCGAACACCTGGCCTCAAGTGATCCTCTTGCCTTGGCCTCCCAAAGTGTTGAGATTATAGGCATGAGTCACCACACCTGGCCAGCACTTCCTGGTTTCATGATTTGCATCCAGCTGCTGCTGTCCCCCAAGTGAGAGGTGACGACATGCTAGCAGCCCTTGTTCTTGGCGCGGGCGCCTCCTCAGTCTTGGCGTCCACTCTGGCAGCGCTTGAGGTACCCTTCAGCCCGCCACGGCACTGTGGGAGCCCTTCTCTGGGCTGGCC